TCTCCTCCAGCTGCATCTCCATTGGAGCAATGATTGCTTGTAACTGTAGAAATGTCAGCTTCTGAAGCTCCTGCTAACTTAAAACGTTCAACAGCAGCATCGAGATTCTTTTTCCAATTGGCAACTTCCAATCTAAATTCAATTTGAGAGCGCTCAAATAGCATATTACCCCAGAAGAGATGAATCTGTGATCTCATTACAACTGCTTGCTCAGCCAATTCCTCAGGAGTTGGCTCACTTGGAATCTTACCCGAGGATTCGCCATCATTTCCTGATTTCTTTCTCCTTTTTAGCAACTCCTCCACCTTACTTGAATTTGGGTCTTTCAGTTCATTGGCTCTCTGCTCCTCTAACTTTTCCCACATTTCAGTAGCAGCTTTCATCTTCTCCTCTGCACTGTCAAAGAGTTCGAATGTCTCTGTTGAGTCCCAGCTTGAAAGATCCTCTTTCTTTGCCAGAGCATAAGACCAGTGAAGCTTTGCCATCTCAAATTGCTGCTGCCCCATAGCAAGTAACCCTTCATAAAAGTCTGGCTTGATCGAAAGTGCCTCCTCATACTTCTCCTTGGCTAAGGAGTACTTTTCCTTAACCCAGTGGTATGCTTTCTGCAGCTGTGCCGCCTTAACCTCCTGAGATGCATTCTCATCCACCGGGATCTTTTTCCTTGCAGCACACATATGAACATTTCCCCAGTTAAAGAAAGCCAATGCAGCAACCTCCTGAAACTTCAGAGCAGCCTTATCAAAGAGAAGTTGTGCCTCTTCACTTGTGACTGTCTCTTCAAGAGCCTCCGAACACAGTTCCATTCCAATCTCGTGCAGATCAACATGAGCATCAGGATCAATACCAACATTGTTTCGGAAAAGCTGAGCAAACTCAAACAACCAATCATCCATCTCCACCTCCTTACATTCTCCTTCTTCAACCTCTGGCTTTCCTTTATGGATTTCTATTGATGTCTTGTCATCTGACTTGTCTGCCTCAATCCCGATGGAATCCACTCCACAGTCACCAATCGAAGAGTGAGAGCCATCATCTCCCTTGATTTCCTCGCTGTCCATAGGCTTCTCCTCCTCCTCTTCTTCTTCTACTACAGGTGGTTCTTGTTCAGGGTTCACTTCAACAATATGCAATCTTAACATTCCAAATGACTCTAACTTATCACTTTCTGGATCTTTCGGCACAAGGTTGTCCACATAAGCTTCAGCCAACTTTAGCTCACTGGTACATGTTATAGTCACCAAATCACCATCGGAATCTTTGTACTTGATCAAAACAGATTTTGATGATGGAAATCGTTGCCCCACAATCTCCCTTAAAACTCTGAAGCTGCAATTCACCGGCATTTGGGCTAGTCTTATATCATGATCATACACAAGCTTCAATTGCCTCCATTGAATGGCGGCCACTTGAGATGGCCTAGGAGCAGACATGGAAGTGGATGGTGCAGGTACGTGATCCTTTGAACTGCCCTTCAATTGCTTATCATTGGACTTAAAAGAACCAGTTGCAGGTTTCAAGACAACCTTCGGCATTTGTGTTTTGACATCAGGACCATTTTCTGTTGCTGCAATTTGTGGCTTTTCATTCTTGTTACTCGATGCACCATTGGTTCCCCCACCAACCCCTGCACCCTTCTTAGGTGGAGCCCTAGCAGGCAAACATGGGCCAAGGCCAGCAATAGGTGCACCTCTAACAGCAGAAGCTCCAAGAGCAGCAGGCGATGGGCGGCTCTGGAGATCCTGTTGAGCCTCCTGACGAGGCCCAAGAGCCGTCCGAAGCCTACGAGCAATATCTAAAGCATCCCCATGATTAGGATCAGAACCCAAAAGAATTTGCACATCCGCCATAGCCATTTCATACTTCCCTACAGCCTCATAAGCCCGAGCCCTTCGCAGAAGAGCCCGAACAAACCGAGGTTGAACCTGAAGGGCCATAGTGCACTCAGATATGACACTGTCATAATCAATTGGTCTCATTTGCATCAAACAAGCAGCCCTATTGCTATGAAACACAGCCCTATCAGGGTGGGTTTTGGGGATTAGCTTAATAGCACTATCATATTGCTCAAGGGCACCCACATAATCTTTGGCCTGAAATCTCTTATTTCCTTCCTCTTTTAGCTCATGAGCTCTTTTCAGAAAAACAGCTGAATCCAAATCTATGTTACCATTACTAGCAATGTTTGCATTGTTAGGAGCAGCATCACTAGCTACACCTTGGTTTCCTGCCCCCTTCTTTCTCCTACCCCAGACTTCCCCATACAATTTCAAAATTATCCCAGAATTATGCAAAAAAACACTGAATTTTAGACAATTTTATCAAAAAGATTCAATCTTTACAATTATTTGAGCAGTTGGGTATTCTAAATTATGAATTTCGATACAAATATAAATGATATTAAAGAGAAATAAAGATAACCCACTTACAAATAATGAAAGTTCTGACCTTTGACGATAGATTGGTGTTATCTGATAGCCCAGAAAACGCCTTTGAGATAACCCAGAAAAATGGTGGAGATAGATTTGATGGAAATGATAAACACCCCTCGGATGAATGTTCTAGAAAGGGTGGGAGAGGTGTAAGATGTGGTTTATGGAAGAGTTTTCAGAAGAAAGAGAAAAGTGAAACCCTAAAAAAAAAAAAAGGAAAAGGTAAAAAATGGGTTCAAGAACAAGTCATGGAGCTCAATCTCTTCTTTTTGCCCATTCCAAAAATGTATTTATCCTTTTTCCCTATTTCTTTTTTGGTACTAAAATATTTAATTTTTATATTCCATCACCCACCTACTTTGGATTGAGTTGTGGATTAATCTCATTTACAATCTCTAATTTCATTGAGATTTTTGCTCTAAAATATTAAGATGAACTATGATTATATTGAAAATTAATTTTTCTCCTAAAAATAGAATGCAACTATAAATAACGATAGGTTAGTCATTTAAGTTACAATGTTTAGGTTCATGATGAATTTATATCTGGATTATTAATGACAGATCATTAATTCGATATAGTTTTGTTATAGAAAATTACTTCATATAATTGTTGCAATGAACTTGACATCTTTTTACACTTTGATATCACAACTCTAAAATTGTCAATGAAAAGATAACGTGTTAAGACTAAGGTCATAAATCTCATTACGTCAATGTTATGGTGTGAAATTCGAGGCTCTCATAACCATCATTTTATTTGTTGCATAAAATTAGTTAGACCTTTTTCCTTTTCAAAAAAGTCTAATTGTCAATAATTGCATTATTAGTTTAGATTTTAGAAGACTTGTCCTTTTGATTAATCCATATAATAACAAATATGTAGATTACAAGAGAGAAAATGGAATTAAGAGCCAACAAGTTGCATTATTGGCTTTAAGTAGGAACTTGTATCACATACTAGTATTAGGGTTTTAAGGGTGTATAGTAAACAAAAATAAATGCTTGCAATTCATTAATGATAGGTGAAATCACAATACAAGGGTTGCTAAATTTTGAAAAAGGAATTAAATAAAAGTTAAATCACTAGCATTAGTTTAACTCAAGATTTGTATAAGATATGTGTATTGGGTTGTATCGCGTATGGGTAATAAGAAAGCCATTAAGAATAGGTGACAATTGTGATATTTTCTCATATATAAGAAAATGTCTAATCACAATGTGAAGGTCGTTAATTCTCTAATACGAAGAACTATCTTCCAAGGGCCTGTTTTCATACAATTATTTTGTTCAGTTCAGTTCAGTTCAGTTCAGCTCCTAATTTCTTTCTCTTATAAAATATTCATTTCATTTCAGTTCAGTTCAGCTCTAATAAGTTCAGTCCAGTTCAGTTCAGTTCAGCTGAGTTTAGTCAATGAGAACATGCCCTTATTACGAAATACTCCATACTTTGTATGCATAGAATTAATATATTTTTTTAATATATATTTTTTAATTCTTATAAAAAAAAAAAGGAATGATGAGGGCATAATAGTAAATAACGCAACACAAACTAGGGTTACAAAACTTAGGAACCGCCTTCCTATAAAACCTGACTTTCAATTTGTATTGTTCCATCATCTTCAGTCATTTTAGCTTCTTCGTTTTCATCTTCCTTTATTAGCATTAACATTTTCAATCTCAATCTTCCTTTAATTTAGTTAAATTTGGTTCTAAGTTATGTCAATTTTAATTCTATAAAATTTGAAATTAAGCCTCAATTCGTATAATTAGAGGAAAGATAAATTATAATTATCTTTCATCAATCGAAAAAGAAGGCAAAAATGAAGACGAGCTATCGTTTCAGTCGTCATCTTGTACATTTTTTATCTATTGACGATTCGATTGTTGACTCGCCTACATATTTAATCTGTTTTCTAGGGTTTATGATTTTTCTTTTTTGTGGGTTTTCGATGATTTTGATGATAAATAAATGTTAAATAGAGCGCATATGATGTTTTATATTATGCAGAAATTTGACACGAATGGAAAATTTGAATTTTTTCCTTGTGGACAACTTTATTTTGCTGATGCGTTTTTAAGTTATAAGTTTTCGATTTTAAAACTGTTTTTGATTTGATTTGAAATTACTTTGTTGAGAATTTTTTCGAAAGATTTTGTTGATAAAATTTGTATGATAGGTTAGTTATGCTTATGAATTGATTTAGATGTTTAACCTGCTCATTGGATGTATAAACGGGCTGATTGATCTCGAACTGTAAACGGAAACTGATTGTGCTTGAACTACTGATTTAGCATGAACTGTAAGCTGATTGAGCTCAAACTGTAACGGAAACTGATTGTGCTCAAACTGTAATGAAAGCTGATTGAGCTCAAACTGTAACGGAAACTGATTGCTCGAATTACTGATTGAGCTCGAACTGAAAGCTGATTGAGCTCAAACTGTATCGGAAACTGATTGTGTTCGAATTACTGATTGAGCTCGAACTGAAAGCTGATTGAGCTCAAACTGTATCGGAAATAAATTCTCCTTAAACTACTGTATATCAAAAATTGACTGAATCCGATCTATGGACAAATGTGGATTTATGGAGTTCTTGGAATAATTTGGAAGATTTACAACTATTAAAGATGCTTTCAATTGTGCAAAAAAATGTGTTTAATTTGATCTCTTTGTTACTGTCAGAGGACACTGCATCACACACTGATACACACAATAAGAAAAATGACTTCCTGAATCCTGAACATTATATGGAATTTGTACAATGACTAGCAGCTGAATGCAACCCTGACATAAGAATGTTGGAGGGTATTTGTCATGTTATCTACTCTTTGAGCATGAAAATTGCATTGGAGTGTTTTTCAAGCTCGAAATGTCAAACGTCTCCACAAATCTCTGATCGGATATCCTAGATTTCACTCCGGCAAACCTCTGGTACTCGTCGAAGATTGAGGACAGGCACCATTTTTGCAGCTTCCTTAAGCATCCCACAAGACATCCTGTTCGGTGCTGCATACATAACATAGATGGTTTACCTGACTGCTACTACTGCTTGAAACAATGCGACTGCAATAATATAAAAGCAAGAAGCCAAGAAATACAGAGTTGATAATCATACCTTTCCACGCTTGCAGTGTATAAGAACTGGCTGGTTTTTTGCATCTGCTTGACACAGGGAAGGAGAAAAAGATGTAAGGCGAATGAAACTGAAATTGTAATCTGAATGTAGATTTTTGGTCTAATAAGCTCTACATACCTAGAGCAGTTTTCAGAGCTTCACGTACCCTATCTTCAGGAATATTAACAAATGGTTCCTGCATAAATTGTACACAAGATTGAGGGTAAAAAAGATGAATTATACTGATGCTCAATCAATCTTCGAGTTCAAAATTTGATGAACAAGAACATGATAGCTAATGCTAAACCATTATGTATACACGCTAACAAGTTTAATCAAAGAGTTGTGGTGCATAATTAGCTTGCTTAAGAGTTGCTATGATGTCAAACGAGTCTACACTATCAAGCATAGAAATACCTGATAATAAAGTGAAACAGAGCAAAATTCTTAAGATAAGTTAAAATTCTTAAGGTATGTCATGTATAGAGCCAGCTTATGTAGTCTCTACTCTTAAGGAAAGCAGCAGTCTCTACTCTCTAGTTGAGCTATCAAGAAGACTAAGACGAACTATATCTAACAAATCTCACAAATCATGTTTATAAATTTTAAAAGCTGGCTCTAAGCCTCCAACAGCATGAAACCTTCAGATCCCGAAAACACTCAATTTGCCAAAAAAAAAAAAACAAAAAAAAAAACCTACTTCGTAGTAACTATCCTATGAAGAAGTTCTGGGCACCAACAACCCTTTTATTTCCCTGCAATCCAAAACAAGGTTGCTCATGGCACATGAGAATATGGACAGAAACAGTCACTAATTACCAATCTGCCACAACGATAATGTAGCTTGTACAATGCAAATAGTGGTTCCAAATTCTCATTTATCATTTCCTCTTGACACATTTTCAGCAGTTTAGTTTGAAAATTTTAGGTGCTCAGTTAACAATATCATCTGAGCAGATAAGAAGAATGATAGATTTCGTGACAGTTAGCAGTGAGCTTAAAGCCTTAAACATGACTTGAGTTTGAATAATGTTCTCAAAGTAACTTGACAATCACAGTTAACTACTAATCCATTCTGTAACACAGAAAACAGCAGCAACAATAATCGCCTCAGATTCCAATTTCAACAAGTTATCAATTAAAGAGTCCAACTTTCTGAAATTCCAAAAGAACATCTTTTTATGCCTCAACTACAAAAGACCGATTGATGTACTTGCCATATATCTCATGCAAGATTAATTCAATAAAATATTTCTCATACAAATTTCTACATTTGTTGCTAAATAATCTCTGGTATTATTTTCTTTAATCTTTATTCTCAATTCCTTATTCTTTATCTTTATTATTCTTTTCCACAATAAGCAACTTGATCATTTTTCCGTGAATAGATCCCAAAGGCAACTTGGCAAGTCAATTCATTCACAAATGCACAATAAGAAGTACCGAAAGGCCGAAACCACCAACAAGTGTTTGCATCAACTAGAAGAATCATTCCCCCTATTAGATTCTAATCCGGATTAATTACTCATTAGTCTAGTAGGTTCTAAATTACCCCAGGTATGTTATAAAAAATGTAAAAAGATGACAAAAATAACTTTTTACTTTAATTATATCCATAATAAATTATATATTTTGTTCACAATGTCACTCCATATTACATTGACTATATGCTTAACATTGATTTGACCAATTCAAATTCAAAGCTTAAAATAATGATCAAACTTTCCAAAAATCAAACCTTGCTCATCTCAATGCCAAATTGAAAGAGATGAATCCCATTTTCTTTCAAGAACTCCGCGATCGCCTCCGGATATGGCTCTGGACACAAACATCTACAAAATCACACCATTAAAAAAAAAATAAAAAAATTGAATCAATATTTTAAAAATATAATGTAAAAATCAGTTAAAAAAAAATTAAAATTAAAAATTGAGGTCAAAAAAAGAGAGGAGAGAGAATTACATGACTGATCGGAGGCCTAGGGTTTGCAAAAACTGTAAATTAGAAGTGTCGGGAAATCCAGACCTGAAAATGCCATTATCAACCATTGCAAAATTCAATGGCGGAACGTACGACAGCTCTTCGCCGTCGCCGTCGCCAACGCCGCCATTAAAGCCGCCGATTGTCGAGAAGAAGGAGAGAGAACCGTCGTCTTCTGTAGTTGAACTGTCGTTTTTCATGATTTTCGCGCCAAAAATCGGGAAACAAAAATCGTTGGATTTCTTTTTATTATTATTATTATATATAAATAAATATAAAATTTAATTTAGTTATTGTTGTTACCATATTTGTTGTTTTTATGGGATTTTTTTTTTATACTGGGAATTCTATGCGGAAGTTGGGAGAGGTGGAAGACAAAGAGAATCAGGGAATCATGGAGGATATTTGATGATCTCTACTTTTTATTATGGTTGGATTTATGAGGTGTATTGTGTTGATATTATAAAACAAGTGTATGTGGAGTCGTGGAGAGCAAGCAATATTCACAAGAATACTCAAGTAGTCAACTATGTAGCCATGTAGGCCGTGTTTGAAACGGGTTCAAATATAATTGTGCCGATCTATTATAAATGAAGCTCATGCATGACCCTCGACCCATATCAATGTGTCATAGCCGGACATGATAAATTTAACAGTTTAAGAAACTGAATAAACATATCAGGTTAATAATCTTTTAAATTTGCTTTTCAATATATTCATTTAAATTACTTTCAACTAAAATAAGTAAAGTCAAAATGAGCTAAATCAAGCAAAAGTTCAACAAAATTAAGTTAATTACAGCAAAAATAAGTTGTATTCATGTTCTCTTCAGTTTGCGAGTCTGATTAAAGGTTGTCATGCTATACCAGATCTAGCCAATGAATCAACTTCGTAACAAGAGGCGACAGAGCGAAGTAGCAGCGCATATATTATTTGCTGACATTAACCCAAATACAGCCAATTGGTAGCACACAAAATTTCAACCACTTCAAAAGATATGAGCAAGTATATAGGCTATTCATTGATTATGAGCAAGTAGTGGCACCACCAATAGGAAAAGTGAACTAAGCAGTCATGGAAACGACTGTCAAAAGTGCGGGGTGTTGAGAACTACAACACTGCAGAGTGCAGGCAGCCAACAATGTAAGTTGTATACGATATAGCTTGAAGAATATCTCATCATTACCGGTCAACAACCATCAGGCTAGAACTCTAGATAGCCATATAGATTGATTCACGCTTTTTCTATGATCATATCTGCTCTCTTCCACAAGGAAGGAGCAATCAAATAGTTACACGGTTCCTTTCGATAATGAACTCCTAAAACTGACTATATACACAAAAGAAATCAGCTAGAAGGAAGTTACAAGAACTTTCCATGACATATCTACCTCTGTAACTTGTTTCAGGTAGCAAGAGCAAGTAGTTTGACATTTCCTTGACTGTTAGCAGCCATAATCATGGGGCTGTCACTCTTCCAGCAAACTGCACTGATAAAGTGTGATCCTCGATCATCATCAGCATCAAACAGTTCTGATGAATTGAACTTGTACCGAGCAACAGGCTTAGAAATAGCCTGCAAGTGATAGAAAAATTGAATTGACCATAGAATTACCAAAGATATAGCATTTGCAATACAAGTAGTTTCCATGTCCTATTTTCTGTAAGGGCTGTATTGATTGATTTAAACACTTTTTATAATCAAATGAGAGAAATTACAAGTGTTTGCATTGTCCTATTTTTTTGGGGTCATTTGCATACCTTATGATAGACAAAGACTTCGTTTGATTCACTGCCACAAGCAAGGTATTCGCTATTTGCAGTGAGGCCTACAAAATTCTTTTCATTCGTATGACCTCTATACACCTGAAGCTGCAATGTAGTGGAAAAATAAATGAGCTAACAGATGTGATTGAATAAGCAATCTTTTTGAAAGAATGAACATAATATTTCCAATAAATGTAAATCATGAGCCCCACTTTCAACTAGATTATGAATAAACAAAATACCACCACTCCTGAAACTTAGGTGAGCTGTGAGCATAAGCCCCACAAGTAACTAGTTTCTACATAATAGATACTTTAAATATTACCAACTTATTTTCCTTGACATCCCACAAGCGCAAAGTGCTATCAGTTGATGCAGAAGCAAGTTCGTTGGCAGATAAAAAATGAACATAAGAAACAGCTTTTCTATGACCAGAAAAGACATGAACCGGCTGGCTTGTATTTCTTAAGTCATAATAGTGAACATTATGATCTGCAGAACCCACCTGCGCAAGATAACATCCAGCATGAAAAGTTGAAGTAATCAAAGACACTGAAGAAGACATAGAATAATACTCTTCGTCCAAAATTAATTCACATTGTCCCAAGCCCTCATAACTAAGGATATGAATTGATTAAACAAAAAAATACCTCTTCCATACTTGGGTCACCACTATGGGCTTAATGATAAATATTTAACCATAAACTAACACTAAATTATGAAAGTGACAACCTTTTTTTGGACATCCTAGCCTCCTAGGTGCGTAAATATATATTCCAAACAGAGGGAATACTTCAAAATAGAAAAAGATTCTACAGTGTTGCGTTACATGACAGTGGGGTGAATACCACAAAAGTTTGAAATAAATTAGAAGAAACAGTCACGTAACTATATCTCACAAGACATCAAAAAATTACAGAATTGAATTTGAAGAAGAGGAATACTTACTGCCACATGCATGCTAGATCCAGGATTACATTTCACAGAGCATATATTTGCATTCAAGTCAATATTCAGAGCACTCTTTTCCTGTTTGGTGCACCAAACTTTAACCTGTTGAAAAGCACCCAAAATGCAATGGATCCATAATGAGCTGTCAATCTGGAGTGCTTTAAAATATTTCACTAACTATGATATTAGCCTCCTTTCAAAGACATGCCTGCAAATAATATCATCACAGATTCCTTCATCCTTTTTCTTTGGTGTGAGTGTGTGGGTTTTGTTTTGTTTTTTTTTTTTTTTTTTTGTGGGGGGGGGGGGGGGGGGAAGGGTGGCGGCAATCCCCAAAGGATCACCACATATTATAATTTAAATGACTTAGATCAAGTTCACTTCATAAATAGTTGTCTAAGTTCCATCTCCCAATTTCTTTCCCATCATAAATTTCTGTTTGCTATTTCCTACTAGTAGAATTCACCATGATCATCAAGTTTATTTCCAGAAACAGTTCTCAATGTTTCATCTCCCATTTTCTTTTCTATCATTTATTTCTGTTGTGTTATTTCCTACTAGTAAAACCTAAGCTTTTACACTGAGGCCAATCTGAGAAGAGATCTGCCACAAGAGAACTTCAAGCTTTAAAATGGTACACCATCACCAGATTCAGCACCACTCAATAAGGATATCGCTGCAGGGTGGGTCAGTACAGCCCTGCCAGGTGATGACATGTAGCCTCGTCACTTGTAACTTATAAGAAAAGATGGTGTTCGTCAATGACAACCTCCAAATAGTTAAACAAGGATTTCACCGTGACAAAAATTCACAAATGTCACTGACTGAAAAGACAGGTCCAAAATCATATAATGTAAAAATATGCATTATAAGATATGGGATTTATGACCTTCAGGTTAGATAAATCCCACCACTTTTTTCATTCAATTTCTTGTGAAAAGGGATGTAAGATACATATGCAGTATCTTGATAAGTATAGCCCAAAAGACGGCTAAGCTCCATATACCTTGCAGTCATCCCCACCAGATACCAATAGCGAAGGTTCAGTACGCGAAAAGTCCACACTCCAAGCCCGTTTTTCATGCTCCTCGTATTCTCCAATACTCTAACAAAGGAAGTTAGCATTATTGACATTAGTCAAAGTACAACCAAACCAGTAGCCTAAGAATGTAGAACAAGCTTAATGGAACAAAACAGCTTATTAGTACTATTAATACCACCTGATTAGTAGCAACATCCCAAACATTTACAATCCCCTCATAATCACTGCTGGCAATACAATGTTTGGTATACTTATTCCAACTCAAACAGCTTAGTTTAGATCGTGTAGCAATGTCAACAACAGCACAGTGCACTTCTGCAGGTTCATCAATCACCTGGAGATCAATTATTTGTTCCCAAGGTTAAGTACTCAAGTAACAATTAGAGCAAAAGATCTTGTGAAAATGAGCGTGAACCCTTCACATTCATTTAAAGTGTTTACTCTCCAAACTTTTAATCATTCTTTTTCTTTCTTCTTCATTTATTTAGTTTGGGGGGGGGGGGGGTTGTGCTAGGGAAATAAAATACTAAGATGAAATATGTTGAAGTAGTGTACATCCTTCTCTTGAGCATGAAATGACTTACTGAGGAAAATTCAAAAACTTTAATCCGCTTGGAGACACCAGCAGTAGCAAACAATTCATGATCTCTGTCAAATTCTATGCTGCAAAAGGAGATGCACATATCAAAGGTGGTGAAGAAGCAATTCATCAGAATAAATCAAGTTGTAACTTGATCATCAATTAAGATTAAAACAAGATAACAAGCAAAAAGATAGAATGAGCAACATGATGCAAAGGTCAAAGCTAGTTCTACTAAAAAAATCATTCAAATTTGGCCCTCTCTACCACTGCATTGAAGCAAATTTCAGGGGAAAATCATACACTAACAAACCATTTACAACCAGGATAACCAGGACTTATTCAAACAAAGGATTATACAGAATGAACTGAACAATTTTAGCTACCACACAGACTTGCAGATACTACCTCCATTTCATATTATTTGCAGCGATTTGACATATAGTGTGAGTAGAGATTGTCTATTTGTTGCAAATAATATGAAACGGAGGTAGTATGTAAGATGCAAGAAAAGTTAAAAAAGGATAGATAGCGAGACACTGAGAAAGTAGCAAGTCCCATTTCTTTAATAAAAGTTTGCATAAGCAGATACACTCTCCACGTAGCATAATAGTGCGTCCATAGCATGTCCATCACTAGCCAAATTCATAAACATTGTATTTTAGAAGATGTAACTAAAATGTAAAGCCAGCAAAGAATGACACACTGCAGTGCATTTATTAAAACAGAAGAAGCTTCTAGCTTAGTGGCTAATGACCATAATCAAGCAAAATACCTACAACCAATACTTAGCATATAAACAGGTACAAGTCAGCCTCTCATCATCAAAAATTACATATAAAAGTTAACAGTATATCAATGACATGGAGCATAGTCAATCAAAAGAATAAAGATTTTAAAGAAAAGACCCACCTGGAAATGATATTGGCAGAGTGAAAAACGTTGCCAAGTCTCAACTCTGAAATAGGCCTCAACTGGCTGTAAAATTCCACCAAAAAGACAAAAGAAATTGAACTTCTCAATAATCCAACTATGGGAGTTTAAAGCAATAATTGCAAATAACAGATACGATATACACGGATATACCTGTATCGAGTACAGGAAGTAAGCACAGACTGAAAATCCTCAAGTCCTGCATGATAGCCTCTATTTGTATGATTCGTATCTCTTCCTTCTGCTGGTTTCTTTTCTTTGGCCCAGTTTCTCCTTTTTTGAAGGTAACACTCTTGCAGTTCAGTGAACTGCAGAAAATTAATTGATAACAAATTAATAAGTTTCGATGCTCAACTGAATCGATTGTAATGAAGCTTCACTTTAGCCAACTTTTCGACCTATTTAACTATATAGCTAAGAGTCATCATGCATAACTTCAATATGCAGCTTAAAAACTATTGACGTACTTCTTTCATATACATGCAGACTTCAACTGAATTCAAGAGAAGGTACTATAGTTAAATAGTTAATTATTAAGCCACCATCAAGAAGTTGCAAGACCTAACATCGTGACATCATATGAAAGCTGAATGTGAATTATGGGCGTATGCTGGTCAGTTAAT